TCCACAATTCAACTTCTTTCGGCGCTCAACGGCTGGCAGCACTGATGGCGTGCATGGAGCGTAGCCCATTTGTTACGGCACTTTCCGAAACTCCAATAATAGAGCCATTAAATGCCAACTAGTTGGCCATCAAGTGCTTTAGTTTGGCATAAATCTGAAGCGCATGGCCGAAAAACTTTGTGCGGCCCACAAATCTGGGCGCGTCTGCTGATCCATGGCCAGCACCTAGCTGCAGCTGGAATTACCAGTCGAAAGTGGAGTTGGAGTTGGCGCTGGAGTTGGAGTAGCTGTAGCTTTAATTAACGCCCCGGCTTATTTGGCCAACAGGTGTACAAACTTTCGACCACGCCCCAGCGCGCAGCCAGGCCTCGCCTAGGCCCAACTTTGGTGCCGCATTTTTATTTAATTTAGAGCCGAGTCGCTGTCCTGGCAAGGACTTTCATGTTGTAATTTCCTAAAATTTACGAGTCTACTTGGCTGGCTGGGTGCGGTCGGGAAGTGCGAGTGGCAGAGGGCAGAGGGCAGGCTGGTTGGGCTAAATAGTTGTTGCGCAGCTTCCGGATTTACGGCCTGGTTAGGGACTTTAGGCTTTTAGGCTGTTTCACTTCTTGGCCGGCTTTTGCCATGTGGTGGGGCTTACTGCCGCTTGTCAGCGCCTCGTTTTATTGGCCACGCCCACGCCCGAGCCCACGCCCACACTCGCTATCTGCTCACTTGCTGTAAATGAGCAACTTTCTGCTGCTTCACACACCTCCAACTGTGTGTGTGTGTGTGTGCTTTTTGGCAATTTCGCATGCAGTTTATGACTAGGCACAACAGCAACAACAACAACAAGCAACAACAACAACAACAAGCTTACAACTTGTGCAGCTGTTGTAGCTGCCACATGCAGCATATTCGGAGCTTAGGCCACCCACCTCATCATCTTCTCCCGCTTCTTTTTGGACAATTAGAGTGCGGCTCATTGCCCATAAAGTTATAGAATTCATGGGGCACGCTCTGCAGAACGCATTCCCAGTTTACTTATGGCCAACTTAGTTGAACCCACGTAAGGCATGAGGCAAAAAACTTTCGTTTCATTAGCTGGCATACGCAGGCTATATACACACACATCCATATACCCCTCCCAGAGGATATTCACTTTTATGGCTGCACATCTAGCGCTGGGTTTTAATAAATGCTGCACATAAATGAAACTAACGCAAGTTTTAACCGAATCAAGAACGAAGAGATGGAACTTTGAAGGAGTTTTGATAAGAAGCAGACTGAAATTGATCTAATCAATGAGATTTCCCAAAGAACTTTTCTACACAGAATTTTTCTTACTCTTGCTAGAGGAAGAGTTTATAGAAATTGCCTATTGCCTTCTACTTGGTATATTGGGTGGATAAATCTTTATTCATAGAGATATGTGAGGTGTTTGCCTCTCTACTTATCACTTACTCTATCTTTTCTACACTTCTACACTTCTCTCCCTCTCTCTCTCTCTCTCTCTCTCTCTCTCTCTCTCTCTCTCTCTCTCTCTCTCTCTTTAATCAGTAGATCAAACTCTTCTCGACTGTTCCAGAGACATAATATCCAAGCTAATCACTCGCTTAGCTACAGCTCACTATCATTTGATTTTAGTCATAAAAGCGAATCATCTACTCATATTATAACAATTATATACGAGTTACGATCGCATGGAAAAGTGTGTCGCATTGTTCCGCATTTCGCGCAGTTGCAACAAAATGTTGCATTTGAGCCATTGTCGATGAGATGCACAGTAATATCATTTAGTTATGTGAGATTAGTTAATAATTGTTGCATTGGAATGGATTAGCGCATGGAGGGCTGCACAGCGCCTGGTAGAGCCTACTTCCGTTTTGCATGCCGCAGATCCCAGAGACAGATGGAGAGAGGGCGAGAGGGAGAGGGAGGCGGGCAACGAGAAGCTGTGGCGAAAATTGTTCGATTGTTGCCACCTTGTGGTGCGCACGAGTGCACTTGCAACAGCCGCGCCCACTCAGGCAACTTGTTAATCATAATTAAACACACGTAATGCGGGACGCCAGCGTGGCAGGCCTGGCAGGCGCGCGGCATGCAAATGCGGCCGGCAAGCGGAGGCTGCAGCGGCCACATCAAATGTGCACCACATGCGCTGCACCGCCAAGGTGCAGTGAACCCCTGCGCCCAGCCAACGGCCGGTATAAAAGCGCGCCAGACGCCAGCCCGCCCAGACAGTGCGCCAAGCGAACGTGCCGCAAACGGTGGCAAGACGGTATCAACGCTTCGAATATCACACAGACCAACCACATCAGCAATGCGACAAGTGAGTGAATCATTCGCGAGTGCTTGGCAGTGAATCAAGTGAATGCAAAACGAGTACGGCAAAGGATTACAAAGTGAAATACAGCCAAAGGATGCGGCAGCTATTCCAGTGTTACATCAATTCGATTGACTAAGATATATCGAGTGTCAAGCAGGAGCAGACTTGTTATAGTGAATGAATGATGCGATCTTCTGAGTAAAATCATGAATTTGATTTAGAATATATGCATGCTAGATAGCACTACCATGAATAAAGACCTTTCTGCTCAATCAGCCTTCAATCATTTGATAAATAGTGCAATATGTCATATTTTAAGACGGTGTTCATACGAGTATTATAGTTACTCTGAAGACTTTCAATAAGTTAATCTTTATATTTAACAGTCCTTCAATCATTTTGATTGACGAATTGAGGCAAATAGCTGTATTAAGTCCATTCCTACTACTTACTAATATCTAACTCCTTCTCTCTCCCTCTCTTTCCCTCCACTCCTCAGCTACCCGCGCTGCCTCTGAAAGCAAGCAATCTGCTCACACTGCTGCTGCTGACGGCGACAATGCTGCAGGCGCGTCGCATCTCCAGCCGACGACTCGTTATCCACGTGCCCGTCAAGGTGAAGACGCATCATCACACCCACACGGTCTACAAGGTGTTGCGCGGCGCTGCAGGAGGCGGCGGCGGGAGCGGGGGCGGCGGCATCAAGCAGACGGTCTACAAAGTCGTGGGCTTCTCCGGCGAAGGTGGCGGCGGGGGCGGTAGCGGTCACGGCGATATGGGGCATGGCAGTCACAGTCACAGTCCAGGTCACAGTTACGGTCACAGTCACAGTCACAGTCACGGCTTGGGCTTGGGCTTGGGCTTGGGCATGGGCATGGGCATGGGCGAGATCACGTATGAGGACAAGCATGGCTGTGAGAGCGGCAAGCTGATGCCATCGCATCGGGACATGTTGTTCAATCATTATGCGCGCCACGACCAGGAGCAGGCGGAGAACGGCGACTATGCGGAGGAGCGGGACGAGTTCATTGATGTCAGGGATGCCTGGTTGTGAATAAAGTCGTGTGAAAAACGTTGCCGATTAATTATAAAATTCCAGCAGCCAAAGAAATTATACTCAAACTATCAACTGAGAGAAAGAGAGATAGAGAGAGTGAGAGAGAGAGGGAGAGGGAGAGAGATGAAGAGAGAAGGTCGCTGAATTTGCATGCGGCTCAAAGTAATTACAAAATTGTTGAAGTCATGTAGACATCCTCGCCCATGTCCGACTGCTACTGCGCCTCCTCCTCCTCCTCCTCCTCATCCCATCTCCCATCCCCCTCTAGCTGCTGCTCGCTGTCTTCGTCTGGCAATGGTAAAAATGCCAGCTATGAAGTTGTCTCGTAGTCGCCGTCAAAATCGAAATCCGATTCGGATTTGGCGTCTCCCGTTTCTATGTCTTTTGTTGTTTGCCTTTCGTCTCCTTCCGCATTGGATTTGTTGTAATGCCAAACAGCAAGGGGTAATGGCTGGGCGGGGGCGGGGTGGACAGCACTGCTGACTGCGGCCAGTCGCGCACTTGAACCTCAACTTTAAGCATTTGCATAGCTCTCGACTCTCGAGCCACCAGAGAACGACCATGGCATATTTCAGTGGACAATTAAAAGTAACAAAATGGATGTAAACACAGCTGGCAAGACGGCGAGGCAGACTGTAAGACATAATAGCAGTTAGGAGTAGTTAGACAATAAGAGACTACAATTCGGAAAACTATTAGGAAATAATATAGAAGTAAAAAATTACACTAGGGCGAGTAGGACTAAAAGGGATAGAAAAGAGGAGTACAAGTCGATGAGAAAAACATTTCGGAATATATTTCGGAGTAATGTTCATTCGGAGTATTTTTTGGAATACTTTTTCGGGTGTCTATACTATACTCTATACTCCAGATATAATAAAGTACAATTCGGAATATGTTTCGGAGTAAACGTTTTAAGTTAAGCAATGCAGACCTATTAGAATTAGGAGTATTATTATATTTTTAGCTATAATATATGTATGTATATAGCTGTAAGAAAATACTAAAAGCAAAACCCAAGCGATTCTTATCAATTATGCATCAAGTGGAATCACGCTGATTGAGGCGCACATTTGAATAAAGAAACCGGTCTCGATTTCAGAATGCGAGCTAATCCTAGTGATTATCCAACATCAATTGGCTGGCGAGCTGACGTTTTGGCTACTGTGCGCAGCTGCTGTATTATGCATGGCCATTAGGCCCGCCGGACCTGACCCGTAATCCATTTAAAGTGTCAGCAGTCAGCAGGACGGATTCGAAGTGCAGCGGCCCAAGCTGTGCCTGACATAAGTTGGATTGATCACGGCGAGTCGCGGAGACAGGTGCAGAATAATTTGCATTTAATTGAAGGCGACAGCGAGTCAGAGAGAGAGAGAGACAGAGAGTGAGAGAGAAGGATCCGAGTGTTTGGGCTGAGCATGATGAATGCGTCTGCTTGGCCAGCAAGATGTGCGCACCACGGGTGGGCCTGGCGCCAGTTTAGCTCTCAATTGATATAAATGTGGCCATTTAAAGGCATTTAGCCTATCCCAAAGGCCAACAATCTGGCCAGGAGCGGCCGGAACAGACCGGCGCTAATCCACTTTGTGGCACGTGGAAAGAGCCGAGACAGTGGCGAGACGCGCTGCTCCTGCTGATGAGTTAAGCATCGGGGTTTTTGTTCATCAATGCGCACAGTTATTAACATTTTTAAGCCTTTGTGCACACACACACACACAAAGAGGGAGAGAGAGAGAGAGAGGGAGAGGGAACACACACACATTCTTGCAGACAACAAAGCGCACAACAATTTGACCAAATGCAGAGCTTAGGGCATGACTGGCAGAGAGAAAGAGATGGAGACAGAGAGAGGGATGGAGCTACATTGCAATCGGGCATAGCTGACTGCATAATGCCCGTTCAGGACTCCCATCCGCAATTAGTTATACAATCTCTACACTCGTATAAGCACAGCCTAGACACCCTCATTCGCTTTTTTTGAACGAGCATGAATTGAATTCCATTCACTGTGGCCATATAGAATCATCTCTTGAGCTGCTAAGCCCCAATTTGTATGCCAGTTGTTGGCCCCGAACTGTGTCCACGAATCGCCATCAAAAGTTTCCTGGCCTGCGGTCCACAACAAATCTATTGATTTTGCTCAAATGGCTTTTGTGCTCAGCTCCGGCCCGGCCCGGCCCGGTCTGATACGGTACGGTCCAGTCCAGTCCGGTCCAGTCCAAGCAAATATGCGACGGAAACTGGCACAATTTCAATTGACTACTCAAAATTGTTTTTACCTGGTGGACAGGTGGACAGGTGGACTGGTGGAGCGGAGGGAAGCACTTCAAATAGTTATACTGATTTGGAGAAACTTGCGGAGCAACTTGCCATCTGCTTGGGCAAAGTTTATTACACAAAATGCTGAAAAACATTTCAAATGTGGCTACTGGCGTTTTGCAACACAGCCAATCAGGAAAGTAAAAAAGAAAGTTATATTAATTTGACTAACAGCTTACATTAAAAGTAAACGTTTTGC